CTACTCATCAAATAATGTTTCTGGTATAAACAAAGCTAGTAGTTCTCATAACAATCACCACATACCATTGAAGTGAAAGCTTATATTCCTTTTATCATGTATATTCAATTAATTGTAAAGAGCTTTTATTAGCTGTAGCATATATGACTTCGTTAATTCACTAGTTCATAAAGTAAACCATTGGGTTTTGCTTAAGCATTTTCTGAATTTATTTCTTTTCGTTATCCTGTTGACCTTTTAATTTTGGTAGCTTACCATTTGATAACTAATGGATCACTCTTATTTGGGCCCAAATTAATCGATTATTTGTCATTCGTTTATTATTACCAGTAATCTATAATGGATGTAAGCTTAACAATTTCCAAGAGACAAAGACTTTCAACTTATTCCTGAAGTTTATAAACTTTGTTTTAGTAGCAAGCGTCACAGGAATTCACTAAACCTGAAGGTAGGTACAGAGAAATAGATGTATTTGAAATTATTGATTTTAATCTTTTTTGTGTCATTAGATTCTAACACCAATGGTTTTTAGTTTGATGTCATCTTGTAAAAATGAAGTATATGACTGCCTTGTATTACCTGTTGAGTGAGCTTGAGACGAATTTACGTATTCTCTTGTGAGAAGCCATGATCTTTAGTATCAGCACTATTGTCAGGGCATACGTTTTCTGTTAATATCTGTGAATATGGCTGGCATCATCTCGAGCTGACTAAGTTTAGTCAGTATGTATGGCTGGATAATAATTTGTTAACCTAGAAATATTGCAAAAACCATGAAAACTGGCATGTTTATTACTGAATAGCCTTAATCTGTAACGAATAAACCGTTTAGTGCCCACAAGCTGAAATCTTTGTGGGAATAAAACTACCTATAAAATTAACTTGTTGATCAAAATACGCTACTAATGCTTTCTGGATTGATAAAAATGTTATTGGGGTTTTATAGAGAAGGTATCATCTTCCCCGTAATTATAAAATGTGAAACGAGCAGATCAAGATTCTAACTGATTTTTATTTATCCAATTGCCACTTAGGCTTGAAATGTTCTATAGTAGAACGCCAGAAGTTTAGTACTTTATCACACAGTAAAGTCTAACAGTCAAAGCTTTCATGAATTTACATTATATATTCATTCGTCTTGACCTAGCCTTCTTCCATCCTGATTCTATGCTGAACACTCCTAACATCAGAACCCGCAATAATCAACTTAGTGTTTTTGAACAGTAACATTCATATAATTTTCGAATTATTCAACTAATGGTTCACTACAAAATAACCTATTGAAATCATCTGTGCTTGTGATTTAAAATAAAAATATTTTTTAATAAATATACAAATAAATTTATTGAATATGAACAAAAAAGAGTTACACAAATTATATTTTTATTCGTTCATGATTGGTCAATTTGTGTGATCCAATCATATTATTCAAAGCGATTAATAATTTATCAACAATTTTTAAATACTTTTTCAAAAAAAATTGGCTTAAAAAAGACAAAAGTGATTTTATTTAAAGGATATTTTATTTAATATGGATAAGTATTATTCCATTAATAATAATGATTAGAATAATTGCGTAATACAGTATTTCATGTAAAACATGAAGTTTCATTATTAAATTGATTGATAGCATTATTATATTTATTATTATTATTATTATTATTATTATCAAATGGACATGTGGTATTGGAATAATGCAATATGTGGATATTGTACTCAGGTTACAGAAGTGTTTATTGGAGTAAGTGAAAAATAAATGGTTTTATTAAAATCTTATCTTCTAAGAGTAAAGTTTCATACAATGATTTCTAGAAATTATTTTTTATTTATGTTCAAATATTCTCACTAGTAATTGGTATTCGAAAACGTTGTTTGTGTTATCAGAAAATATCAAAACTGAACAATTTGAAATGAATTTTATTGGTATTGTTTGTTTGAATCTTCCCATTGATGTTCATGACTTCAGGCAATATCGTGGCAGTCCGCATAGGATGTACATATGCCAACAAGAGACTAATCAATTACAGTCCAAAATAACAATAGGAAGATACAAGTAAACAACAAAAAGTGAATATAACTTCACCCTATTGCGCAAGCAGATGGCTATCAGGAATCAGTAGGTGAATGGATAACGCGATAGTGTTTGAAGCAAACTGTACTGGGTTCGAGTCCCGGGAACAACACGTTGAATCGCGTATCTTTTACTACAAGGAAATAAAAATGTACCAAAGAGATGTGAATTATAGATTGAGAAATTAAGACCATTGGAAGATAAGCAATTGTATTTGATTTTATTTGTTTCGAGATATTTTAGGAAAGTCTGATATTATCTGATATACAGTCTATTTAAACAAGAAATTATTATAAACATTTAGTCTTTTATTGGATCGCATATATACGCTACATATCATAGGGTTCAAATGTGTAAAATAAACACACTGAAAGTTAGTGAACACTCTGCCAGTGAATATCTTATTTTAGTGTTCATGTTTATCAGTCATAAATTCTTTGAATTAGATTAGATAGGAGATAGTGTGTTAAACATTTGGTGCAAAATTTTGTCTCTGAGATCATACGAGCACACCGAGAAAGAAAAAGACCATTTAATAACTAACCTTCACTTAATTAATGGATATGTCAAAAAATTATTGATATGAATTTCAAAAATCTTAATTATTATCAACAAAAACTAAATCACAATTCATTATATGTAAAGATTATATTTGAAATAATCTCAGAGATTGAAATTTAATTAATTCCAACGTTTCATCCTGCTGACTTGTCTGAACTTCTTCAACGTCCTGAAATCTACACAAGTTAGCTAGACGAAACGTTGGAATTAATTAAATTTCAATCTCTGAGATTATCTCAAATATAATTTTCACATATAATAACGACTTCTCTATTTGTTCTAATCTTGATGAATATTCGTATCAATAACAGTTAACCTAAATAAAGTTTTATATACACTTAGTATTGTTTGTTTGGATCTTCCCATCGATGTGTTTAGGACTGCAACTGGTCAGTCTCTAATTGGCATATGTGCATACTGTGCGTATTGCCTCGATATACCTTAATTCACAGGCATGGTTAGCAGAGATGGATAGTGGTTAGCAGTGCAATCCAGGACGCGCGTTTCGTCCTATTTGTGACTCGTCAGCTGGATGTACCTGCATCTTAGAGTTGATGTTCACTCTGGGACTCAAACCCAGTACCCTCACTTCAAACACCATCGCGTTATCCACTCGACCACTGAGTCCTGATAGTCACCCCATCGCACAAGCAAGTGGCTATCAGGACTCAGTAGCTAATGGGTGACGCGATGGCGTTTGGATCGAGGGTACTGGGTTCGAGTCCCATAGTGAACATCAGCTCTGAGATGCAGGTACATCCAGCCGACGAGTCACAAATAGGACGAAACGCGCGTCCTGGATTGCACTGCTAACCACTATCCATCTCTGCTAACCATGCCTGTGAATTAAGGTATATCGAGGCAATACGCACAGTATGCACATATGCCAATTAGAGACTGACCAGTTGCAGTCCTAACAAATCGATGGGAAGATTGAAACAAACAATACTAAGTTGAATTTAATCTACCTTATGCTCAATTTATTCGAAATTGTCAAATCAAAACTTGGTAGTCATACCTGCAAAATAATTATTGTTTAACATTTATCAATCATTATCAGCAGTGTGCATCCACGATCTTGCCTCACGAGATTCGAACACAGGACCTATCAGTCTCGCGTGTCAGAGCACTTAACCGATAGAGCACTGAGCCGTTTAACTTCTAATCCACGAAGTTTGTGCAACCGTTCACCAATTGTCTTCAGTGAGTTAATATCTCAACAACAGTCGTGGTTGAACTCCACTGGTCACTGCTTTCCACTAGAACTACAGGATATATCTCTTGAAGTCCGTCACTAGTGAGCATATGATTATAGATCAGAAGGGGGTTTGTGGAGATTATAGTTATTTTATATAGTTTTGATCATGATTCAATTGAAGCTAGACCACAATGGAAAACCTGGAAGCACTTATCAATCAGTATGATTAGGTCACTCTGTAATCTCAAACATTCCCAATTTTGGAATGTTACAATATTTAATCAATAATTTCTATACAAAATGCATAAATATCAAATATCTAATCATTTTTTCAATTAATTACAATTGAGTATTATTGTCGACGACTAATAAATCATTTTTCCATTGATGGATTTGCATATTTTAATATATCACAATTAATTGCACGAAATATATAAACTGATTTAGATAGATATCGATAACTGATGTATCTTTATTTCTTCATTACAACATTATAGTAAATCATTTTTTTTAATAAGATAGTTACCGTCAATCAAATAAATATGGGATCGTTAAAAAAACGGAATATATCTACAGTTGTTTATTTTAATTTTGTTCTCAACTTTTCATTTGTGTAAATAAATGATAATATGAAGTTTACTTTGAAAAATAATCTTGTAGTTAAAATCTTTACTAGCTTAATACGAATGCAAATTACATGTATATAGTTAGTGATCTGGAAAAATACTAGTGTAGTGAATAAAGAACACGAGTGAAGACAATGTTAATTTTTATGACTTTGGACACAATTTGGTTACATGGCTACACTGCAAAGTGGTGCATGGAGAACAGTTGACAGATTCATTCCAAGTAAAGATTAGTGTCAAACAATGCTGTTTACTCCCCCCCTTTCCCTTTCTTCTAGTTGAATGGATCATGAAGACCTCGACATTTGAGGGGAGGCACAGTATATAATGAACAGCTTGCATACGACTAGATGATGTGGACCTTGCAGATGATCTATCTCATCTATCCCATACACATAAACAAACGCAGGTGATGATAACAAGTGTAGTAACAGCCTCTGTGGAGATAGACCACTGTTATATCTGGAGCTTGGATTTTCGCTATATCGTGTAAAATCTGAGCACTCGAACACTTGAATCCTCCAAGTCGCAAGTGAAGCAATAGAAGACAAGTGGGAAATATTTTTATTCCAAAGAGTGTCAAATATTGTACACATGATGGAAAAGTTCTGAAAGAGGTGGAAACTTTGACATATCTGGGCAACATCATCCATAAACAAGGAGGATCATATGCGGACGTAATTGTAAGAATTAGCAAAGCAAAGACGGCATATAGAGCATGTAGAACTCAAAACAAAAGTCAACCAACAATCAAAGTTGGAATCTTCAATACGAATATCGAGACAGCTCTACTGCACAGAACTGAAACGTGGAGAACTACTACATTCGTCGTCAAGAAAGAACAAGTACTCATAAACAATTTTCTATGCAAGATATTAAATGTCTGTTGACCAGATACCATCAGCAACAGCCCATTGTAGAAGAGAACAAACCAACTTAAGAAGAAATCGGGAAATGACGATGGAAGTGGATAAGAACTAAATTGTGGAAACCGCCAAACTGTATCACGAGACAAGCGCTAACTTAAAATTCTGAAGGGAAGAGTAAAAGAGGAAGATCAAGGAACAGTTTACGTCGGGAATTGGAGGCAGATATCGAAAAAATGGATAGCAACTGGAGACAACTGGAAAAGATTGTCCAGGACAGAGCTGAATGGTGAATGCTGGTGAGCGGCCTATTTTACCTTATAAGGGGTAACAGGAGTAAGTAGGTACTTGATACAATGGTACAAAGACTGATACTGTTCGACTTAAAAAAAATTAGTAAAAGTACAGATGAAAATTTACTTATCAACCAATCACTCATCTACAACTAATCAAAACGATATTAAGAATGACAATGAGATGTATAAAAATCGTTTGAAATATCCGGTTAATAGATACATTGAAATGCATCGAACCGAGTATATTCAATATTATTATTTATGTACCGTTTATAATATCATTAAAATTAATTACCTCAATTGAGAAATCCTGATAATCATTGAATGATATATTTATTTACTTCTTAACAATATTTATCTATATCATAATACTATTAATATGTTTGTTTGTGTTTCAACACAGATATATATCATTAAATGAGCTGACTATTTTAACATACATTAACGGATTTCTAAAGTAATAGGTCAACTATAATGACCTAAATTTTTTAACTGAGCTTCCTATTAATCATATAAATATGTTTATCAATTATCTTCAAATTATTAAGGAAAGATTACAATTTAAGGCGTTGACTTATATTTAGGCAATTTATAGTAAATAAATAGTTCACAATGTAAAGTCAGTATGATAGTTAACAACAGTGATTAAACTAGTCAATAGTATGCAAGAGAAATTGATTTTTTAAGTCAAATTAGTGTTTACAGGTTTTTCATGGTGGTCTAGCTTCAATTAACTAATGATTTCAACTAGATATAAGATTACTAACACCATCACAAAACCCCTTTTTCAAATCACTGAATTTTTTTTTTATGGAACAGAGCTGATACTGTCAGGTTATAGTTGAGTAACCATGTTTCATTTTAGAACTAAAAAGGACTATTCAAGTTTATTTCACATGACATATATCGTTGTATTTATTATAAAACAAGCCTTCTTCCTTCATTTCTTCAAGATAAGTTATTTATAGTCTATTATATATTGAAGAAAACTATCAAAATTATTCTATTAAAATGTTTATGAAAAAGTTTATCCTAATTTGTTTATTACTTCCAAACGGAACTATTCGTTACAAAAGATAAAATAGATTTTTTTTCTCTTATTCTTTATATACTAAAATATTTTTAGATTTGTAATTATTTGTTGCTTTTTATACACAACCTATGAAAAGTAAAATAATGTCAAAGTGGATTTTGCTAGACTGCCATAACTCATGGTTTATCTTTGACTATTAGAAAAACAGTTTACTTGGAACGGTTAAAACATCAGTACTAAACCATTTGTTGTTGTTGTTAATTATAAAAATTATCTGTATATGGTTTTGGATATTATTAAGTCAATGATTGCGATCATGAACCAATTGATGTTAGACCACCCTGGGCGGCTGTTTCGTCCTGGTGTGGGACTCGTCATCAGTGTGAATTTATGACCCGACTCATCGGATTCGAAACCAAGGCCTTCGGTTTCGCTTACGAATATTCAACTTCTAGAACATTGAGCCTGTCGGTATCCAACGGTATTAATGTCTAACCTCAAACAATCCACGATATTGCTCGACCATCTTCCATTGTACTGTGATAGATATCTGTTTAACATCAATTGGTTTATGATTTCAATCAAAAACATAATTATAAAAAGCCAACTTATATTCTATTATTTATATCCGAATAGTTCATGAAGTTTATTATATAAAGTTATTTAAATGAAACAAAGAAAATATTAATCAATACAAACTGGAATGTGAATATGGAAATCGGAGTCAGTAATTGTACTTTTCATTCAGAGTTTTATTACTTTTTGTTTTTATTATAAGAATAAATCAGTTATTTGAATCAATGAAAATTTTAACTAATATGTCTATTTATTACCAATTGGATTATATACACATATATGTATTATACTGCTGCGGAGTTCCACAATAGGACGAAATGGCCATCCAGTGCTTCCAGGTTTTCCATGGTGGTCTAGCTTCAATTGATTCGTGATCCCAACTATATAAAATTTGTTCTAAAGTGGAAAAAAACAATAAACTATACTCCTACCATTAAATAGGAATAAGATATTTGTAAAATCTCAGCGAATGAATTCGAAGTAATGTTTCGCCTGCCAATCTGGTCCAAGCTTTTTCAAGAATCTTTCCTTAAGAAAGCCAGGCGAAACGTTGGGTTTACTTCGAATCTATTCGCTGAGATTTTACAAATATATTATTCCTATTTAATGTCTTACATCAACTCGGCGCTCAAATACTGTGAAACTATTTATTTGTACGAAAGTTCTTATATACTCGTACCAATTATATAACAAATAAAAGTAATATATTATTAGATAAATTTTCTTTAATGTAAATGGATTCAATCACTTTGTTTTGTTACATTTTCAGTAGTTTGATTGAAATTTTTTTGTAAAAAATGTCTCAAACTTGTTTTATTCAGTTATATGAAAGTATTCAATAAAAATTATGAAATTTAAGTAGATTGTAACAGTAGTGATTATATATTTTATGAAATGTTACATTTAACTGTCTATTTTTGGTTGAAATTTTTTTATCAGAAGGGGGTGCTATGAAGATTTTAGTAAGTTTATAGTTGAAATTATGAACTAATTGAAGCTAGACTACAAAGGAAACCCTTGAAGAACTGGACGGCTCAGCGGTCTAGAGGTTAAGCATTCGAGCGCGAGAATGCTAGGTCCTGAGTTCGAATCTTGCAAGGCGGGATCGTAAATCAGACTTCCGAGGAGTCCCAAAATAGAACGAAACGTCCGTCTAGTGCTTCCAAGGTTTTCATAGTGGTCTAGCTTTAATTGACCCATGATTTCAATTATGAAATTTTTTTTTTAATTCTTAAAAAAACTATTTCGCAAAAGAAGGATTTATTTGATTGAAACATAATAATAATACAAAAGTTGATTAGATAATTACCTAATGGTTTTGTTATGGAAACTGAGAGAATATTTAAAAAATAAAAACGATAAGATCAGTAATGAGTTTTAGTTATAATCAGTGATTTTTCTATTTTGTAAAAAATGATGCTACATAGTGGAACATTGAAATCCACATTCATATAAATATTATAATTGTGATTTATTCATAGAGGACGTGACTATAATAGAATAACAGGCATGATTCAAATCAGATATTTAGGAAAAAGCTATATAAAATTGTAAATTGTAATGTAATAATAAACATAGTATTATCGTATATCAACAAAATAATTTTTTACTTTTTTTACTTACGCCTGTTACCCCTCGTGGAGGAGCATAGGCCGCACACAAGCATTCTCCATCCAACTCTGTCCTGGACAATCCTTGCCAGTTCTTTCCAGTTGTTATTCATCCTTTTCATATCTACTTCTTTTTTTCGGCCTAATGTGTTCTTCAGCCTTCCTCTTTTTGATGCCCTATAGGATTCCAAGTTAGGGCTTGCGTCGTGATGCAGTTTGGTGATTTCCTCAATGTATGTCTTATCCACATTCAACGTCTTTTCCTAATTTCCTCTCCAGCTGGAAGCTGGTTTGTCCTCTCCCATAAAAAGCTGTTGCTTATAGTATCCGGTTAGTGAATGTTGAGTATTTTGCCTAAACAACTGTGAATGAGTACTCGTACCTCCTTGACGATGGTTGTAGTAGTCCTCCACGTTTCAGCTCCATACAGTAGGACTGTCTTGACGTTCGTATTGAACATTGTGACTTTGATATTAGTTGACATTTGTTTTGAGTTCTAAATGTTCTTCAACTGTAGGAATGTGGTACTTGCTTTGCCACTGCTTGCATTTGCATCTGCTAATCAATAAAATATATTTAAAGTGATTATTTATGAAACTTGTTAACTTATTCAGAATATATTTTATAGTTGAATACTTAAAATATGATTAGAATTAATTTATGAAGAAAAGTTTTTTTTCTGTTTATCCACTTGAGTATAGATAATATGATCAATTGTAAAAGTAACATGATGATAATGCGTAACAATTATCAGTCACAGGTTGAGTACTAATTCATAAGATCAATATTGTTTTACAGATTGAACTGTATTCGTAATTCATAAAGATTCCTTTGGAAACTAGGGAAAAGTTTAAAATTGTGTGCTTATCAACAAAAACAACCTACATTATATAGACAGTTAATAGTTTGTTTTATTCTTCTCAATAATCAAAATGAAACTTGACAATTCAACGCAAAGTAATATGCTTCAATATTTTATTCAGTTTAAAACTATGACAAGTGAAATACTGTTGAAAGCAACAAAAAAATAACAAATGTGAAGGATAGTTCATTGTCTCATGAATAAATCTAGACATTCTAGTTGAAAAAGTGTAAATGCATTACCGTAGTAAATGGTAATTTCAATCTGTTGCTATTGACTTCAATGATTGGTAACATCTTGTTCATAGAATATTTCATTATTAGTTCAATTTATCAGTAAAAGGGAAAGTATTCTAATCTGTACCATTGTTCTATATCTATTTGTCAAAGATGATTGAATGATATTTAGATGGTTGTATGATTTTTTCAAAATTATTATCAGTTTCATTTTGAGTTCTTCTGTCTCAAAACACCAATTTATCGTACGTATACACTAATCAATAATGACAATAGTATCTTATAGAATCAATTAGAGTATCAACTGAAGAAATAAAAAAATATTCTAGATCATTGAACAATTATACGTTTATGATTTGAAACTTCAAGTAAATAAATAAAGGTTTGTTGATTACTCTCTAATTTTTAAAGATTCAATAGCTAAATTTAGCGATTCAAGTCATCTTCACAAAATATTTCCGATAGATAATAATATGGTTTGATATTTTGAAATATTAGTCTTTTATTTAATCAGAAAGTGGTTTTGTGAATATTATTGCAATTTAATTGTTGAATTCATGAGTCAGTTGAAGTTAGATCACCATGGAGATCAGCGATCTAGTACTTCCAGGTCATTAAACAAATTGTGGACTCAGTAGCTATATGGATAACACGATGGCGTTTGAAGTTCTGGGTTCGAGTCCCAA